TTCAAACCCTGGTCAAAGCAACATCGCAAAAAATATAGAAAAAAGGTTTTTTCTTAACAGCGGTCGTCCCTCGGCAGGCAATGGCAAACTTCCGAGTGTATTTCTGCCATGAAAAACAGCTTCTCATAAAAATACCATCGCCGTTCGGAGTCGGCGTAAAACTGTAGGTCCCTCCGCTTTGTGTGACAACATCAAGGCGCACGCCACAAATAGGAGGAGAAGCTCGGCCAAACACTAACATATGTGTAAGCGCCAATCTATTATTATTATTATTATTATATTAAAATTTAACAGGCCAAATTTTTGTTTAGAAATTCTGGCTAAAAAGTTGGCAATTTGTATGAAACTTTGTGGATATTTTCCCAATTGCCGCACAACTTTGCAACTTAGATTTATATGATTTCTATTCTATAATCAGCTATACTATTTTAAGCTATTTACAAAAAAGTTTCAGAATTAAAAACATTGGGAATATTGTGAAAACATCACTTTATGATTTTGATAAAAAATAAACAAAATAAAAATATTTTATTAACCTTCATTTTATAAAATTACATACGTAAAACATGAACTTAAGACACAAAATATAGTTTAGTTTCGTTGCTATATAAAAAAATGGATAAATATTCATTAGCCTTTTCATTTCACAAGTAACAATTCAACAAAAAATTAAATAAAACTAATTCATTGATCCCTTAGCTTTAAAATTAACAAAAAATAAAAAATATTCATTATTTTTAATTAAGTAGCAATTGCTGTACCTTAATAACTATTTAAAAAATAAATAACTTAAAAACACAATCCATCAGTCTTCAAGTATAGGAACAAAAAACTTAAAAAATATTGTTTCACAAAAATAACTATACTTAAAACTACTATTTACAAAGTTTAGCTTTTAACTTCAATGCTTTTAACTGTAATTTTCTTATATTTTTTAATTTTTTTTTAATGACAATTTTTCTCGTTCTAGTTGTAGTTTAGCTTCTTCGAGCTCAACATTCCTCTTAAAATATTTACTTAAACTATTTAAATTATCACATATTTCACCAATTTTTTTCATCGACTTTTCATGATATTGGCACTGGTTTTCCATGCGTGCGCGATTCGGTTGTGCAACAGTCTGAAAAACGATCGGTGAAGGGAGAGAAAATTCGAAAGGGATAAATAAATTTCGAAAGGAACAGATTGGAATTCGAACATCGAACGAATGTAACTCGATAGGTGCTTACAGAGTACCAATCGTTCGAAAGCGAACAAAATTTTCTTTCGAATCGAACTACAGAGTAGGTATCACAGCCCACGGCAATGCGCGCGAATCACGAATGCAGCCACAGTAGCATGCTGAAATGACTCGCTCATATATACACTAGATTTGGAAATTTTTATTCAGACGTCCAATCGACATGTGTGAAGTATCGTTGGAAAGGTCTTGCAGCGTATGTGCAGAAAATGTATTCAAGTTTCATAAACGATTATCCGAATTCTAAAAAAGTAGAAAAAATGTTTTTTTTTTTTGCTTTTGCCGGTTTAGGGGGCTTGTGTTATTCGATAGGTCAATACCTTTTCAACGATACCTTATTTATTGAGTTCCGGGTAATAGTTGGATAGCTATAGAGCTCAATTGATTTTGGTTCGTGTCTCCACTAGCGTCCGTATGCACCTTCATTTAATTTTTTTCAAACTTTCAGGAATTTAAGTGCAAAAAAAAACTAAGAAGGTTTTGTTCCAGAATGTTTCGATTCGTATGCCTTTGTGGGCATGGGCGTCGCCAGGATCGAATTTATGGGGGGGAGGGCCGACATATAAAAAAATCCCAAAATTTTCATCCTTACACATTCATGTTTCTGGCATGCGGGAGACGATATGTACTTGCCAATTTGTTTTTCAAAAATTATTGAAAAAGCAGACGTGTCGGTTGCTCAGCAAACCGGTTAATCGTGTCTGCAATTATTTCACATTGATTCTCTAAAACAAATTTTCGATGTATTCTTAAAATGCATAAACCTAAAGGTAAATTTTATAGCAATTTAAACTAACAATTTATTAAAACTAGTAGTAACCTCGAAATACGTGCGAGTACTTAGCTCAAAATTTATTTAAAGAACTTCGTGAAAGACAACAATTAATCTTGTATTGCTAGACACCTGATAACCTAGGATAATTTTGAAGTTCTTAAAAGACATTACTCTACTCTAAGCTTCCTGCAGTGGTCCATGAGAATACCGTCATCTTTAAGGTATAAGGTATAAGGTTCACAATATCTGGTATTAGTCTTAATCTGAAACGCAATAATCATTGAAAATTGGCGCCCTTTATGGTGAAAAGCATTTAATATCACACTTTCAAGCCAAAGCTTTCTTAACCCTAGAAGCCTAATCTATTTGGAAGTAACGTAAAGCCTTAACATACTCCTTAGAGGCTTATGTACTTAAAAGATAACCTGTGAAATAAAATATACTTAGTCCTGCCTTATTTTTTAAAGAATATTGAAGTTGTGAGTTTGACTAATAATAAAACATAGTTTTATTAATAAAAACTATAACCACATTTATTTAAAACAAAAAAAAAAGTATATTTTGTGTCAAAATTAAAAAAAAGACCCATTCCGTATACGCCCCGCGGACGTAGATTATACTTTTAGGGTTAACCCTTTCAGTACAAAAATTCAACCACTGGTTCATTTTAAAAATCACATACAAAAATGTGTAAAGCTTTGAGGTTTGCGGTCATTAAGGGTCCGTTTTAATGGTCAGTGATATCCGAGGTGTTTAAAAAAGAAAGGGATCTCAGCTAGAGCTCAGCTAGAGCTCAGCTAGAGCTCAGCTAGATCCATGGCTAGAGAAAATATTGCACATGATTTAAAAGCAGATTTTGAAAAAAGATGTACCGATTTGAAATTATTTAAATGTACGTTGGCATACTTCATAAACGCTTTTTTATTGAGGATGCATTTACAATATCCGAAATACTCCTTTCTAAGAAAAGCAAAAGAAGAAAAGTTGATGTTTTTGGTACAACGTATAACTGTGAGTCTTTGTACTCTACAATGAAATTCGTAAAGTAAAAATACCGTTCACAATTAGTTGCTTTCGCGTACCTGTTAATTATTGAAAGTTATAAAAATTATCAGCTTTTTGTGTTCGCGTACGCAAAAAACTTGCAAAGTAGGGAAATTGAGAGAGCAAAATGACATTTCCCTGCAGGGAGTGACGTTAGCTTATACCTAACTTTAGTCTGTTTACGCGAACACTAGTGCTAACTATTAACTGTGTATTTTGTTCGAAAAAAGCTAACTACTTTTGTGGGGCGATGGCCGCAAAAAAGTCAGACCTGGATACCTCTGCATTACATGTCAACTAACTTGTAACTAACTACTTTTGGACATAAAATATCAATAAGAAAAACAAAATTTTTTTTTTTTTTTTTACTTTTTTATTTACTTATTTATTTACTTTATTTTATTACATTTCATATTTGTTTACATATTCTGCTCTGGGTGGCCCCATATTCGAACACCGTCAGACATAACTTCAAAATGATAGTATAAAATTTCGATCTTCCTTTTATTTGTCCTGAATATGAAAAAGAATCTGCGAAGTTCAGAAAAAAAGTGTATTGAAAGTAATTTTTGTATGAGGATATTTAATAGAAACTTGTAAAGAAAACCAACTCCCGATTGCGTCTGCATGACTCCTGCACGACTTTACAATTCACTTTAAGTTGGTTTTGTCATAGCTAATTAAAAGGGAGGTATTAATCGAAATCTCGCCAAAAAGCTAACTATAAGTTGGTTAGTTTTAACAATTGATAATTTTTCACTGCAGGGTTCATATGAGGGAAATCTGCTAGTTTCTGCTGGAAAAATTTTTGCCAACAGCAATTTGCCTACAAGAAAACAGCTGATCAAAAACTGCTGGTTGGAATTTACGCAAATCCCTAAATTGAATTTGATGGCTTGGAAGTTAAAAAGGTAAAATGCGACTAATTAAACTTATAAGAAGTGAGTAATTATTCGTTTAGTCCGTGAACTGTGTCAGGACAAGCCTTCGAGATTTGTTTTCTTACGTTTTAAATTTGTTTGAATGTAAACAATATTTCTATCAGCTGTTCGTCTAATTTGCAAGTTTCTGCAAACTTTCTGTTCGCGTACTATTTTGGATATTTTTCTCTTGTGAGATAACAGATGACATTTCGCCGGACATTTTTTACTGGGGACTTTAAACGAACATACCTATTGACTATCCAACATTTAACAGAATTGTTACGAACGGCCTTAACTGANGGTTACGAATGGCTTTAACTGACCTAACACCAGATTTTGAAAATCTCACCAAAGGGATCTGTTGAATTTTCTTTTATATCTACCTTACGTACAATAGAATAATAATAAAATTAATGTTTTTCATTTCTAATAATAATTTTATTTAAAAATAAAATCTTTGGTTTTCTGGTTCTTTTTTGTGGCTCTTTGTAGCATTTAGAACTTAGATGTGGCTCTTTTCGGCCTCGGCCTCGCCCACCCCTGCTATATACATTTTCATACAAGGCAGGATTAAACAGTATTAAAAATATGCTGCAGAAACACAACAGCAAACAACAGCTGAGCTAAGAATCACTGACATGCTATAACAGTATGTTTGAGATGGAATGACGTGGCATAGCAATGCATGAAATTTTTGAAAATTACGTTTTAATAGATACGCTGGGAAGAAGTTAAGCAAATGTATAAATTTATATTTTTTGACCTACTTCACCGATTTGAAATCTGGAAACTTTACCTTTCATGAGCATGAAATGGTATTATAACTTTGGTCCGATATTTGTAAGTACCAGAATAAGAAGAGAGAAAATGTGTACTTATGTATGTGAGCAGAACATCGAGCTGAGCCGACTTAAGCCCAAAATACAATAACGCAGTGGCAGTGGAAGTGGCAGTATTTGGAAATCAGCTGTTTTTTAGAAACTGTGCTGTGCAATGAAGCGACACACGATACAGCAGTGACAGTTGGCAGTACTGCTCAGCTTAGCCCAAATTCTAAATTCACTGCCACTGCCTTCATTGCAGCAAACTTCAAGTGTCGAATTTGACGTAAATGAGACGCAGCCAACTTCTGTTTGTGTCACTGACAACTACAATTTTTTGTGATATTGGCGCGTTATTTTTTGGCATTTTTCTGTTTCCCGCGGGCGTTTTGCACCTTTTATAGGTAAGTTTCTTACTTTTCACAATCTTTTATTTAATTTACAGTGTATGTGTGTATATACATATCTATGTATAAATGTATATATTAGTTGCATTCCTGATGCTTCAAGATTTGCAGGTTTTTACAGGAAGCTGCTTCAGGTGACCACCTTCCATAAGGTTTATTAATGGGGAAAACAGCTTTTCCTGCAAATCCTGTAAAACCTGCAAATCGTGAAGCATCTGGAGCGCAACTATTATAATTTTAATTGTATGCTTCTCCACAGGAGTGCGATGGATGAACGCATAATAGAATTTGTAAGGGACAACCCATGCATCTACGACAAGAAGCACGGCGGCTATAAAAACCAATTGCATAAAGACCGCTTGTGGCTTCAATTTTCAAAGGAAGCAAACGTCCCAGGTAAGCCAGTGGTAGATTGTGAACCCTTTCACTCCACGTACAGTTTTTATTATAATATATACATACATATGTAACAGAGGAAAATGTTCAGTTATTTGCCCACTGTTTGTGGGTTAATGTGCGGAGGGGTCATGGGTCTTGTTATCCAACCCACTAGAAGGAGCACAGTTCAATCGTTGTAAAAAGTCACATCTGACTTTTGTATACTCCCTTTAACATTGTATGTCCTAGGAAAGCGAGTAATCCCTTTGGCTTACACTTTTCTTTTCAGTTGATGTATTGAAAAAAAAGTGGAAGTGCATCCGCGACCGCTTCTATCGGGTGCATAAAAAGAAGAGCACCGAGGCTGCGTCTGGTAGTGGGCAGTTTTCGCCAGACACCAAGTTATACAAAAACTACGACAGCCTATTATTCTTGCTGGATGTAGATTCATCGAACACGAGGTAAGTTACCACTCAACTTTGAGCACATCGCACGTTTGATATTAAAGTGGTATATGTACATGTTCTCCTTATAAAGGTTATTGCATGATAAAATCTTCAAAACGTATATTGGGAACTAATTCTGTGTATTAATAAACGTACGAAATGAAGATATGTTAATAAAATTTATGTAATTAAATTTCTTTATCAGCACAATTGGAAATTTCTTAACGGAGGAAGAAATTCCTTTCGATGACGAAGCATCGAGTTCATTTATGAACATAAGCGGATTCAACTCCTCATCGCCAGCTACTGCAGTGCCTCGGAAAAGTAAGAGCAATGCTGTAGAATGTGAGCTGCTTACCGCCATGAAAAGTGTAAGAGCATCCGTTGAGCGCAAGTCTGCTTTTCGAATATTTTTGGACAGCATCGCCCTTACCGTTGAAGAAGCACAATTGGATGTTTCGCAGATATCGCAGTTACAAATGGGTATACTTCAACTTGTCCAATGTGAAATTAATATTTAATTATGCTCTTGGATGAAAACGTGTGCAAGTTGTATGTACGTATTTTAATTCTATCGAACATCTTTTGTAAAACATTACTAAACCTGACTGAAATATGTACCTTACCATTAAATATGTACCCTAATATGTAATATGTACCTTACTATTAAATATGTACCCTAATATGTAATATGTACCTTACTATTATATATGTACCCTAATATGTAATATGTACCTTGGTATACATATCGCTGATTTACTAAAAGCCTGTCAAAATTAAAGAAAAGAATTTCTCAGGAAAGTGTTTAAAGGAAACAGAGATTATGACAGTCTTTTAGTAAATATCCTCATGGCCAAAATAATAGAAGCGCGAAATTTTTACAATTTTTGGCCATTTTTCTTTTGTTTGTTTAATGTTTATTAATTTTTTAAAATCTTAGAGATTTCATTATTCTTTACATTGGGTTGTATGAATAAAAACTAAGCAATTGCTTTTTCTTAAAATTTCAGACCTTTTACTTCAATTTATTTGAATAAATCGAGTAAAATGACTGAAATTTTAAGGAAAAGCAATTGCTTACTTTTTATTCATATGGCCCATTATTTGACATTTTATGTTCTTTGTGCTGGAGGGAATTTCGCAAAAAAATAATATAAAGCATTACTGAAATTACTAAAATGGTTTCGTTGCTACAAGAGGAAATATTGCTTTTAGATTTAGGGCAATTGTATTATGTGTACGAAAAGTACAAAGCACAAAGAATTTGGACAAGTGAATTATATACTCAAGAAGAGCGGCAAGCTCATGGATTTTTCGAGCATGCTTATCAAATTATAAAAACTAATGATGATTCCGAGTTCCAAAAGACTATTCGGATGAGCGTAAAGGTTTTCAATTTGTTAGCATCGCTGTTGGAAAAAAAAGTTGATAAGCGGCCTTATGAATAAAAACTATGCAATTGCTTTTTCTTAAAATTTCTGACTTTTTAATTGATCTCTTCGAATCAATTTAAGTAAAAGGTCTGAAATTAAAAAAGAAGCAATTGCTAAGTGTTTATTCATAAGGCCCATGAACTTGTCTTTGTGCTGGCGGGAATTTCGCAAAAAAATTCTATTATTTTGGCCATGAGTTTACATGCATAAATCATTTGATGATTAAATGCATTTTTTTTTATTAATGTGTCATACATACTAAAATTAATTTATGAATTATATATCGTTTAAAATCGTCGTAAAAAATGCTTAAAAAGTGCAAAAACAAACGAGAAATTATTTACTAATATAATATACACGAGCTGTGCGATTAATTGATTATTCAAAATTTTAATTAATCATAAAGTAAATAACTCAGTTATTCGATTAATTGGAAATTATGATTACTCAAAAGTTCAGTTACTCGAGTAATCAAGATTTTGATTAACCAAAAACAAAAATATTTGAGTAATTTGTTTTATGACTAAAACGAGTAATCAACATTTTAAAGTACTCTTTACATATAAAGCAGTTGAAGTTCCTTGATACTTTGAAAACAACGTTTCTGTTTTCAAAAATTAAAATTAAATATTTTTTTGTCAATTTTTATTTATATACAGAATGTAAAAAAGAAAATAACCATTTTCCAAACTAAACTCTTTTAACGAACAAAATTACTTTATTGAATTAAAAACATGCTTACAAAGTACAAAAACACGAAAAATAATTATTATAAATAAAAATTGATAATTTTAATATTATAATCAATATTATTTATTCACATAATATACACTTTAACTTGTGAAACATGTGTACTTTATTGAATTAAAAAAAATGCCTACAAAGTACAAAAACACGAGAAATTATTAATATTATTAATAAAAATTTATAATTTTAATATTATTATAAATATTAAGCTGTTCACGTTTGCCTGGTTATCAGGTTATGTGATTATATTTTCTATTCAGTGTACAACAATAAAATACACTACACAAAAATAATTTTTAACCAGATAAGCTGATAACCAGGCAAGCGTGAACAACCACATTATTTATTCACATAATATAAAATTGAATTAAAAACATGCTTACAAAGTACAAAAACAAGCGTGAATTTATTTATTAATATAATCCTTTAGGACATCACGCATTTTGAAAGCGTCTTTTGGAGCATTGAAACGAGTAAATAGTCTTGTTTGTGGCAGTGTGGCGACTTCGTTTCGCCATTGACCTTCTACTTGAACATCACCTTCATAGTGGTCTACCAACGTATTTGGACAATATTCAACATCGTTTTGTTTGACGTAATTGTGGAGAACCACTATAGCCTTCACAATTTTTTCTGCATTATGTGGATGGCACAATAAACCATCGCATAAAACACGCCACCGCATAGTCATTATCCCGAACGTATTCTCTATTCTGCATCTTGCTTTTGACAGAATTTGGTTGAAAGTATTTTTATCTTCTTGCAGATATCTTCCTGGGTATGGTCGCATCAAATTTTTGCGGAGTGGGAAGGCAGCGTCGCCAACGAAAAAGTAGGGCATTGATATATTAGACCCAGGTAAAATTGCACTTTTTGGCAAGTTTATCGTGTTATTAATAATTTTACTGCCGAAAGAGCTGGCTCGCAATATTCCACCATCGCTCTGACTGCCATATGCACCTATATCGACTGCGGTGAAACAGTAATTGTGATCACAAGCAGCTAATAAAACTATGCTATGATATTTTTTGTAGTTGTAATAGAGCGAGCCAGAGCGTGGTGGACATCGGATCCTGATGTGTTTGCCATCGATGCATCCTACGCAATGTGGTAGCCCAGTCTTTGTATGAAATTCCGAAGCTATGCTTTCCCATTCACATTCATTTGGTGGAGGCAAATAAATTGCCCATAACTCATCCCAAATGGCTTCGCAAGTTTCAAAAACTATTTTGCGCACAGTTGAGAGGCCCATCCGAAAAGTCCATGCAATAGTTTGCCACTTTGCACCTTGTGCTAAATACCTGTAAAATAGATATACAAATGTAAATGTAGTATTGTTAAAACTACCAAAACCTACATTAATGTTAACACCAAGCGGCACTCCGGCTCGATAGGTTTCCTGCGGGAAGTTCTTGTTAACTTTTTCTCCAACAGCGATGCCAACAAATTGAAAACCTTTACGCTCATCCGAGTAGTCTTTCGGAACTCGGAATCATCATTAGTTTTTATAATTTGATAAGCCTGCTCGAAAAATCCATGGGCTTGCCGCTCTTCTTGCGTATATATTTCACTTGTCCAAATTCTTTTTGCTTTGTACTTTTTGTACACATAATACAATTGCCCTAAATCTAAAAGCAATATTTCCTCTTGTAGCAACGAAACCATTTTAGAAATTTTAGTTAAAATTTAATATTTATTTTTTGTGAAGTTCCCGCCAGCACACAGAATAATATAAAATGTCAAATAATGGAATGTCAAATACAGCAGCCACTGACAACGCCGTATTTTGTTTGCTGCGGCAGTCACTGCCAATATTAGCAGTAACAGCTGATTTTAAAAACTGTCACTGCCACTGCCACTGCGCTATTGTATTTTGGGCTTNCAGGGCAGTTTTTTAAACTACCACTGAAGCCGCACTACTCATTTCATACCATTGATGTGGATAGCAGTAGAAGGGTATTAAAGCAGCCTACCTAACGTTTATGAAATATGTATGTATAACTATCTCATAAGGTTATCGCCTCAATACTTAAAATCTAGCTGCTGAAAATATAGATTTCCGGCATTTTCCCAAAAATTGGTCAGCCAATCTCTCAAGTCTAGCCCAAAACCTTAGCTTTCATTTGGTATATAGCTTATATCTGGGAAAACTCTTGTGGAGATATTGAGATTCAAATGTAAAAAATGTCGCTCTATATAGCGACAAATGGTTAAAAATTAACACATTCGTCTAATTTGGTTCCTTCAAGCTATAAACATAACATACCCAATTTGCCGCAGTGTGAATGCAATGATATCATGGGCGGGATATTTTGTGAACCGAGCTAGCGTTATTGTGCTATCACTTCGTACATTTCTAATAAAAAATAATTTCTAATAAAGAATGGAAGGATTGTAAAGGTACATTATTTAGCTTAGTTTAGGAATTTTTAAAAAAAATAAAAGCTCCCGTGATTCGCAGACTTTCGCATATATGTATATGTGCTTTAAAAACACTTCTTTTTTTGTCGCGTACGTTATCACCTTGTTTTGAACGGATATTTTCCACACCAAAGTTTCGAGGCTGCTCATATTTTTCTCAAACATAGTACCCTCTGGTTGACACATAACCGTAATCTTGTTTTTGAGTAGCTTCTATTTTTAAGAGATTTGTTACTCCATAAGCGTACGAATGTAGCGTACGGCTGCATGGAAACACCAATATGTATGAATGCATTTAGTTCACTTTATGTGTCGCTACTAATTATGTATAAATTGCCACTTGTATTTTAACTCTTCAATAAGTTCATAATAAACTTTATGCAATATATATTCCTTTGCAGGGCTCGGTACAACTCAATTGTAGCAAAAAACACAACCGACTTCAATTCTAATTAATTTCTGCATGATCCAATCATTGGATCTAAACCACCTGAAGCACCAGAACAAGAATTATCGAAGAAATCGGTTAATGTGGCCAAAGTTATGCGGTAACATACATTAAAAAAATTCCGCTGGATTGATAACCTCCTTCTTTTTTTGAAGTCGGTTAAAAAGAGAAAAATTAATGAGGTAAATTATTATGAATTTTTAATAGATATATTTTAACATTTCTAATAAAATTTACATAAAAAAATTATGCACTGCCCTGGAAACTGACGGAAAATATTTTTATTTATGCGGAACGTTGCAAAGTTCTGTCTACTCTTAGAAACACAAAATAAAAAAATCAGAACTAACGACGGCAAAAATGCTCGAAAATTTTATCAGTTAGGCGACTTACTGAAGGTTTCAAGACCATGGCGAACTCCTGTAAGAACACCCATGGCGCCCTAGAGACCAATGTCTAGAACGCACCTAAATTATGGAGGGAACACTTTTCCACCCTATTGAATGGCAGCAGCACTAAAAGTAGTGGAGAAGACGAACCCGAGCCCCCAGTCGATGATGATGGAGTCAATGTCCCACCGCCTGACTATGACGAGGTACGAATATTCGTCTTTATTGCTGGTTTTAAAAGGACAGATTCTCTTCTTTAAGTTTGCCCAAAGGTGTTCAATGGGGTGGAAGTCTGGCATTTTCGATATATGTTTAGGATCATTATCCTGCAGTAACTCCCACCGCAATGGCATTTCCCCTTTAGCCTAGGGAAGCATTATCGTCAGTAATATGTTTACATAGTCAACCGCGCACAATTTGTTCTTTATCCAAAATATTGGACCAACGCCTTTCTCCGAGAAGCAGCCCCATACCATAATCGAAACACCCGCTATGCTTAACCGTTTTTTCGGATATTTTGGATCAAACGCTGTGTTCGTAGGATGTCTTACGTCTTGTTTTCCATCTGATCCAAACATATTGATTTTTGTCTCATCAGACTACAGCACATTTTCCACTTTTGACGGAAAAGATGTTTTCTGGCAAATGCAAGTCTGTTGTTTTTCTTTTTAAGGCTCCACCAAGGTACCTTTCTAGGGGTTCTGGCTGGAAGTTTGACTTCTGCCAATCTGTGCCTAATGGTTGGGCTTGTTATATCTACATCTGTTTTCAGCTCTATTGAGGACAGAAAAGGGTTAGCTTTGCAATAGCTCTGATCCAGTACTCCATGAACTTACAGGATTTTACACGAACTTGCAGGAAGTTACAGGAAAAATGTTCCCGTAGTCCAAAAGCCTCCAAAATTCTGTAAATGAGAGCGACTTTTGGAGAGTTGTGTAGAGAATGAAGTTGCAAGATTTTACCCGAACTTTTTCTTCTGGTAAAATCATGAAAAGTGTCAAGCGATCAGCTGTTGCACAAAAGTAAACAAAAATTTTGATATTTTTTGAGCGTAAAAACGAAATAAAAATGGAAGTAAATAACGAAACATTTGAAGATGTAAGTAATTCCACATATATTTCAGAGATTTTTATGTTATTAATTATTTTATAGCAAGCATGTGCCGCTGCTTCTAGTACTCCTTTAGAAGACACAGAGGCAGAGATTTTGAGCACCTTAATATTTAGATGAGCTGGTAAACTCTTCAAGCGACTCGGATGACTTCTTAAATTTGATAAGGGAAAACTCCGACAGTGAAGATGAAGCGATATTTAAAGAAGTAATCCAAATACGGCAAAGCAGAAATAGCATTAAAAACTATTTTGAAGAAGTAGTTCTCACATACACTGGTGAAGAGTTCTTAAAACATTTTCGGAATTCCAAGGAGTTGTTCGCTAGTTTAACAATGAGATATGAGCAATCCGATTCATATAAAATACTTAGGGATGATAAGCGTTTGTCAGCTGCGAAAAGTCTGGCTGTGTTTTTGTGGTTTGCCGGTCATGAGGCTTGTAGCCTCCGTGATTTATCCGACCGGTTTAATTTAACAGTCTCAAGTATTTCCCGAGTAATTGATAGGGTGGCAATGTTCATAAGCGGATTGAGCCCTGAAGTTATCAAATGGCGCAGCAACGAAAGGAAACAAGAATCTGCCAATTACTTTGCTCAGCTTGGTTTTCCGAAGTCAATAAGTAAAAGTACATTTAAGAATGTTGTGGGAATGGATTTTTGTGTATTCACTTCAATTATTTTTTTCCTTTTTTGATTAGGGTGCATAGATGGGACGCATATTAGAATAAGTCCCCTTTCAGAACGCAAAGACGATTATATTGCCCGAAAAGGTCATATAACATTAGTTATGCAAAGCATTCGTGATGAAAGAAGGAAGTTTATTAATGTTTTCGTCGGATTTCCGGGATCTAGTCACGACAGTTGGGTTCTTCAAAACTCTCCCGTTTATAATAACCTAACAACATTGTGCGGAGGTTATATTTTTAGGCCTACATCCTTATGAAGCAAATTATGTAGAAGCATACTTGTATATCTAAATATTTAAAACTTTTTTAGATTACTATTTGCTTGGGGACTCGGCTTATCCCTGTAGTGATTGCATTATAACTCCATTCAAAGACAATGGCCATTTGACAAGGGACCAGAAATATTTCAATAAACAACTAAGTAAATGTCGCATTTTAATTGAGCATTCTTTTGGCATATTGAAACAGCGATTTCGACAATTGTATTACTGCAAGTTGAAAGGTATAAAAAAACTATGTCATTTCATCGGAGCGTGCTGTGTTTTACACAATATTGCTAGCGAAAATGATTTCAACTTTTCATTAGATAGTGAAGAAGAAGAAATTAACGAGGACGAGGAAAACATTATACCAACCAGAAACATCAATGTTAGATATATTATTTGTCAGGCATTAAGTAATAGACGACGAGAGTTGTAAACTTTGAATTCACGTGAAATCTCAAATTGTTTATTTGCTAAAAATAAAAAGGAATTCATTAGCTAACAATCTAATTATACATATGGGCAAGTCCAGGGTCACTTATGTTTCATCGTTCGATACGAAATTGCATTTTTGCTAGTGATTAACAAAATATTCAAAAAATAACAAAAATATTTGTATACGATCGACAGTGTCTAAGGCCCTTTGCTAGGGATCAAGTCAAAATAATTTGTAAATAATTATATAACTTTAGAAAATTCATGTTTTACGTCGTGTCACTTACAGCTATGGTCAAAGATTTAGCAGCAAAATTCTAAATGATATTGTTTGTTTCTGATATTGATTAAATTATAATTTATATGCAAATTATTAAAAATAAATAAACATAAGTTGCAAACAATATCATTTAGAATTTTGCTGCTAAATCTTTGACCATAGCTGTAAGTGACACGACGTAAAACATGAATTTTCTAAAGTTATATAATTATTTACAAATTATTTTGACTTGGTCCGTAGCAAAGGGCCTTGCACACTGTCGATCGTATACAAATATTTTTAAAAATGTTAATCACTAGCAAAAATTGCAATTTCGTATCAAACGATGAAAGGTAAGTAACCCTGGACTTGCGTATATGTACATACAGCCTTAATTTAATTTCATTAATTATTCCTTTTTTTAAATAAAGTAATTATTTCTGATGGATCGCAATTTCAGTCTTGTAATTTATTTTGTCTTTTCGTTAAAATTTCCAACAGCTCAATTTTCTTTTTATCTCTTTCTGCCTTCTCTAAATCTCTTTCTTCTTTTCTTTTTAAGTAATCCAGAAACTTATGATATTCCCTTCTTTCCTCCGCCATTTCCACCAGCGTTTCTTGGGGTTTCTGTGGTGTTAGTTTTCGACGCTTCGTAGAGCAACTTGGGATCTCATCTGCGTGGAAGGATATACAAATACATATATAGGAGAAGTACGTATACGTATGCGTGCCTTTCACAGAAAAATTGAATGTACAAATTTTTATGGCAGCACCTACATAGCAACGCATACGGATACGCATGCTATGGAGGTCTGCTTGTAACTGTAGTCTTATAAAAAGTAAAAGAAAATTAAATAGAAAAAGAATAAATGGTAAAATATTGTTTAAACGCCGTGCCACTTTTATTTTGAACGCAACTGTATGTATGTCGTACCTGAACTACCTGCCCGGAAATCTGAAGCCACCTCACTACTTGCGGTATCCATCCTAGATGCTTCTGGAGAATCGCTGCTTTCCCAGAGGAAGGTCGGGTTTATAGACCGCTTTTCCGACAAAATTGCATCCAGCTCGCTAGTATTACACAATTTCACAGTTAGTAAAAAATAATAATAATTAAATCATCATAATTAAAATAATAATAACAATTATAATAATAAAACTGATATATAATATAAAAACGAACCTTTGAAAGGACACGTTTGCTTACTCCTTCCACTTTGCCTGTTATTCAGTACGGTTTTTTTGTATTGGCGCTCCATGCCCCTGAACTTATTTTCTATTTGAATGGCACTGAATGAATAACCTTCTTTTCTCATCTGTTCCTCAATAATTTTCCACATTTTGCATTTATTTCTTACTTGCGCAGACTTCCCTACTTTGGGGCGGAGTTCCTCTAATAAAGACAGCATCAGTTTTGTTGGTGCTTCCAGCCATACCTGTTCGCCGTAAATAAGTGTAAAGTCTTGACTGTCCTCTGCAAAAGCATAACCTTTTTAATAACTCAATCTGTAAAAATATCCAAGGCTATCACAGAATCCATCATAGTCCGATTCTCGTGAATTCTACGAGAATGCTATCATTGAATTCGAATAGCTACGAACGTAGCGTATTTTCGAACATTTCGCGAAAAATCGGACTACGATGGATTCTGTGATAGCCACCATCATTTTACCGAGCGAGGAAAACGCCATTTCACTTGAAAAATTCTGGGATTCCACGATTTCGGGAGTCGCCTGTGTTTGTTCTTCTGCAATTGATAAGAAAACCAAACAAATAACTGATTGCAGCATTTACGGTAGTAGTGCACTTTAGCGGAACCTGCCCAAAATTTATCCAAAAATGGATCATCAGGTGGGATGTCAATCAACGTGTTTTAACGCCAATAACTATAATCCGAAAGCGGAAATAAACTTCGTGAAATGTTATTTGCCCACTTTTTTTGGGTTAGTGGGCGAAGGGGGAGGAGGAGTGGGTTTTGATATCCAACCAAATAGAAAAAGAACAGTGCACACTTTGTAAAAAGTCACACCTGATCTTGCAAAACCTTCCACAGACCCCTAGGGAACCATTGGAAAATGGTGTAAAATTTTTATTTTGACACTGTACATCTAAACCTGATAAACAGTATTTTTACGTAGAATTTATTTTTGCGTAAGCGGCCTTCGGCGCGCTTAGAGATTATAACCCATACTACCTAGGATTCTCCTTTCTGTGCTCAACATTTCTTGTGCATATAACTCTGGCCACCTTATTTTGATGCATTTCACCTAAAGGCCACCTACGCAGAAAGTTCTGCGCAAAAATACTTCCGCCCCTCTTCTCCGGTAACACAAAAAGGAGAATTATACTTAGTAAAGGTTATAATCCCTATGCGTGGCCAGAGGCCGCCAAAGCAAAAGGCGTTGGAGGTAGGTGTCGTACGGGACAGCCGCTAAAGTGCACTTTAACACCTTTACTAATTAAAGAGCCTTCTAACCGTCTGATGCAAATATCACTTCATTAAATAAGATTCCATGTGTCCGGAACTCTTCCTCAAGAATTTCGGCAGCCTTCTGACGCATAAATGTTTCATCTGTAAGAAAATTACACTACAACACATTTTTTCTTTACATATAAAGGTAAGAAATATTACCATTTCGTATTCGATTTAATGTTCCCGGCGACTAACATTTAATGTATTACCTTCCATTTATTCGTCTTTATTTATTTATTTTACCAGAAACAAAACTATTTGACGTTTTTACAGGAAAAATGTTTGTTTGACGTTTTTATGCTTTTTTTGCTTTTTTTTGTTTCCGTACTTTTTGGTGGTTACTCACTTTTTACTCGCACTTCAGAGAGTAATTTTGCTGTTTGACAGTTTTACAGGATTTTTCACGAAAAGTATTGGATCAGAGCTAATGTCGAATTAAACGCCTTTGATGACCAGCTGTCATTTTTCGATTTATACGTCGTGTTTGTGTTTTTTTTACGCTATGAAGGGCAGGCACACCTTCTTTTTGTAACAGTTCACCATATCTGCTGTCTTACTAATCGAATTTCCTTGTTTTCTTAAACTTATTATTAAATTATTCTACAATTACGTGCGGTGTCTAGTTCGGCCCATTTTATTCTTTTTTATGTTTCGTTAACCTATAGTATAACTTTAGATTAGCTAACATTCTTTAAAAACGCAATCAGAAGCGTCAAAAACAAATAATTTACCTTTTAAAATGCAATAATATCAACAAACATGTTTTGCTTCTATTATTTTTTTCAAACGCAACTATGTAGCCGTGGGTAACACAGTGCGGCGCCGCGCCATTGCGCTGATACCGAGAGCTGAGTTATTGGCGCCGATACCGATTTTCGCAACTCTGTGATGCAATGGCGCCAGCAACACCGGAACACTAACAACACCGGGCGGCGCAAAGAACACACAAAAGCGAAGCGTCACTTGTAAAATGTGCAGCACAAGGCGAATTTTTACATGGTGGTGTTGCTAAAATTAGCCGCGGCTCTTCTGAATGTGAAAATTATGTGTTTGTTGTATTTTTGGGTTTTGAACTTGGCTTGTTTTTGCCCAACCGACACCACCTTGTATTAATTCACCTTAGTTCAACACCGGAACACTGACAACACCGTGTGTCGCAAAGAACCAGCAAAGAACACCCGAAACAGAAGTGTCTCTTGTAAAATGTGCAGCACAGCTAGAATTCGTCGCGGTCCTTCTGAATGTGAAAATGATGGGTTTGTTGTATTTTTGGGTTTTGAACTTGGGTATACTTGAGTTTTTTCTCAACCGATATCACCTTCTATTAATTCACTTTGGTGCAGCGTGCAGCGTGCGGCAATAAAGGAAATGAGCTTTAGCCTGTAGAGGCGCAATTGCGCCAACACACTGTGCTGATTCCGACAGTGGCCCTGGAGTAAGTGTGTCAGCGCCAAAAAATTTGCGCCGTTACCCAGGCCTACAACTATGCAATTGTTCACTCTCTCGCACATAAAGTGAAAATAAGACAAACTAGCGGAATAAAATGTTTTGCAAAAGAACAACCGCTAAAGGGCCGTTTATATAAGACCTTTGCTTCGCTTTGCTTCATAATTCCGCTTTGACAGATAAGTTCAATACATGATTTTACACGAGTCTTGCTAAATAGAATGCGAGGAAAGCAAAACGAAGCAAAATCAGCGGCAACTCTCAACTTTTGCGCGCTTTGGCAATCAGCTGTCTACATGTATCTTTTCTCGTGCGCTTGCATTTGCATTTAATGACAAAAATAAGGTAAACAGGAACTATTATTGCTATTATTAATGCATATTATTATATTATCTATTTTACAGATATAAAATATGGAGGAAAAGGAGAACGCAAAAGCTGTCAAAGCGTTTATTGTAGCATATCTTCTACGTTTCACGCTTTTTTGTCAAAGTTCGAACTGTCAAGCAAAGCGAGGAAAGTCTTATGTAAACGGCCCTTAACTGCTATTTGTACAGGGTGCGCCATTCCAAGAAATATATTTAACTAATGTTGTTGTAGTTGATTTAATATTTTTGTCAATAGGTTGTTTCTATTATTATTTCCAACACTGTAGGTATATAAACTGTTATGTAAAAAATAGGGACACGACATCCTGATCAGTTTTAACTATTTTCCTCTCGTTTGCTTAATGTTTATTAATTTTTTATTAAAGGCTAGTTAATTATACAATACTTAACACCATATAAATCCACATTTCAAACTTTGTAGAGGAATTTAAAAAAATTCACAACAGAAAACTTTGTATTCGTAATTTTTTGGAAAATACGAAGTTTAATCATATATTGCAATTGCTTATATTGCTTACTCAGGGTTTACAACCTTAATTTGAACGATCATGCTTATTTTGCTTATTTCAATATATAAAGCTAAAACCTTTTAATTAACTGTAAAGCAATAAATTGCTTTTATTTTGTGTGTGTGAATACTATTGTCCAAGGGGTTTTGACATCTGATATTTTACAGCGAAATAATGGAACGGCCAGGTATTTCTTTTGGAAACAAGGGTGCCTTGTATTCTTCACAAACAAACTTTAACAAACCATAGTGGAAAGCGGAGCAAATTTCTTAAGAACTTCGTCTGCTTAAGAAAATTTGGCTCAATAAATTTTTCTTTACATTTCTTGGGCTTTTCTTTTTATTCGTCGAACTAAAAAATTTTTTACAAATAATAACATAAAAACAGATTTGGTTTTTATTAACTTGTAACTTCAATTGCATTTCTGCTTGGATACAAAAATTTATAACCAATGATTCATCTCTACGGGAAGGCATTGGTGTTAATGAAGAGATTAAAAATAATTTATCTCAAATGGAGAATAACGAATATGTAACAAGTAAAGAAGTATAAGTTCGGGCGAAACCGAACTTTATATACCCGGCGCAGGTATCAAATATCGTCGTTTCAACTTTCTCTGAACTACCTTTGCATGATAAGTAGGGGTGTTTAATCGATTTCAAACGTTTTCGATAATATGCAGAGTTAGACTTAATGATATAACTGAACCTAGTTAGGTACAAATCGATTAAGTGGTTACCGAGGTACACCTTTGTAGTTATAAAGTGGGCGGTGCTACGCCCAATTCCTAAAAGTCTATAGCAGTTATTTATTGTTAGGATATTGTTGTAACTATTAACTTGGAGTAAATTAACGTCCTCAGTTTTTGATATATCGGAGTTTTCCTATTTCTGAAATTTACAGTTATACCGGAAGCGGGTGTAATTTTGGTCTGATTGGAATAATTTTCAACAAATTTCTTATCCGTACCAAGGTTATTAAGTGCAGCGAGTTTTGTAGAAATAGATAAATCGGTTACCGGGATGCAGATTTTTGGTCAAAAGTGGGCGGCGCCACGCCTATTATCCAAAAATTTATATTATTCTAATTTTTTAATAAGCGGTTATTGTAATCATCGATTTTAAGTGAATTAGCTCCAGTAGTTACAAATTTATCGCAGTTTTCGCGTTTCTGTAAATTACCGGTATATGGCAGGTGGGCGTGGTTATTGCCCGATTTCAAAGATTTTCAACAGATTTCTTGCCCAAGCCTCGTACCGAGTTTTGTAAGGATTGGTGAATCAGCTACTGAGATACGGCATTTCATTTTAAGCGGGCGGGGTCACGCCCATTTTCTGAAAAATTTCATAATAATACTATTTTCTACCACAATTCTACTCCAATACTAATTTTCAACTATTTACATCTAATATTTACAGAAATATGGTAGTTTTAGCATTTTTTCGAAAATACCGTTATATGGGCGTGGTTAAAGTCCGATTTCGCCCATTTTCAATACCAACCTACCTTTGATTAAGGGCTACCTACATACCAAATTTCGTTTAAATATCTCAATTTTTGCTCGAGTTATCGTGTACACGGACAGACGGACGGACGGACAGGCAGACATAGCTTAATCGACTTCTCTTTTCATTGTGATCATTTATGTTTACATTTGTCCATATCTATCTCGATTCGTTTTGGCTGTTACAACCAACCGTTATGCGAACAAAGTTAATATACCCTTGTGCACAAGTGCGCTCGGGTATAAAATAAGTGCACGTTTTTGATGTTGCCTTATAACGTAAGAACGGCTTCAGCAACAAACAAAACAAAATATGGAATGGAACAAAATTAAATGGAATATTCGGGATGCAGTTAGTTTATGTGAAGTTTTCCCGAATTCAGAAAAAGGGGCGTGGCACCTCTAATCTTATATATAAAAATAAGTGTTTTAGCTTTTAACTTGTGAATGGCTTCACCGAATTCAATCAAATTTATGTAGGATATTCGGGCTATGATGCAGATGGTTTGTGTGAAGTTTTCCCAAATTTGGATAAGGGGGCGTGGCACCCCTATCTGATATATAAAAATAAGTGGACGTTTTTGGTGCGACCTCATAACTTGAGAACGGCTTCACGGAATTCAACCAAATTTATGCGGCATATTCGGGCTATTATGCAGATGGTTTATGTGAAGTTTGCCTGAATTCGGAAAAGGGGGCGTGGCACCACCCATACTAATCTATATTAATAAAAATGTTGTGTTCGTATGTCACGGTCGTCAAAACTCGAGAACGGCTGAAACGATTTGAATAATTTTTTTTTTGTATTGTTCGGTATAATACCATAACCAATGATACCGCAAAAAATTGGAGGGTTGGCACCTATTTGAAAAATTTTAAACCCAATTATATTGATAAAATAAATAAATTATTACAATATGGGTATCAAATTAAAGAGGTTTAAGAAAGATAACTGTTGGCAATATTTTTGAAGAAGGTTGCCACCTATTTGAAAATTTTAACTCAGTCAAATTGATAAAATGAATGAAATATTGCCATGTGGGTGTCAAACTAAAGAATTTTAAGAAGGCTTACAGCCGAAAGTATGTAGAGAGTTGCCACCTGATTAAAAATTTAATTAAAGTACATCGATTAAATAAATGAAATATAGCAATATCGGTATCAAATTAAAGAGGTTTAAGAATGATAACTGCTGGAAATATTTTTGACGAGGGTTGCCACCTATTTAAAAATTTTAACTCGGTCAAATTGATAAAATAAATGAAATATTGCTATGTGGGTGTCAAGCTAAAGAGTCTTAAGAAGGCTTGCAGCCGCAAATATGTTTGAGGAGGGTTGCCGCCCGATTGAAAATTTAACTAAAGTATATCGATAAAATAAATGAAATATTGCAATATGGGTATCAAATTAAAGAGGTTTAAGAAATATAACTGCAGGAAATATTTTTGAGAAGGGCTGCCACCTGTTTGAAAATTTTAACTCAGTTAAATTGATAAACTAAATAGAATATTGCAATGTGGGTATCAAACAAAAGAGGTTAAAGAAGGCTCACAGGCGAAAATATTTTAAAGGAGGGTTGCCACCAGTTAAAAAATTTAGTGCAATTTAATTGATAAAGTAAATGATATATTACAATATAGATTTTACATTAAAGAGGTTTAAGAAATGTAACTGCTGGAAATATTTTTGAGGAGGGTTGCCATCTTTTTGAAAATTTTAACTCAGTCAAATTGGTAAAATAAATGAAATATTGCAATGTGGGTATTTAACTTTGGAGTTTTAAGAAAGCTTACAGCCGAAAATATGCTTGAGGAGGGTTGTTACCTATTTGAAAATTTACCTAAAATTAATTGATAAAATAAGTGACTTATAACAATACAGGTATCAAATTAAAGATGTTTAAAAAAAATGACTGCTGGAAATATTTTTGAGGGGGGTTGCAATCTATTTTAAAATTTTAACTCAGTTAAATTGATTAAATAAACGAAATAGTGCAATTTGGGTATCAAACTAAATAGTTTTAAGAAGACTTACAGTCGAAAATATGTTTGAGGAGGTTTGCCACCTGTTTGAAAATTTAACTCAATTAAATTGATAAAATAAACGAAATGTTACAATATGGGTACCAAACGAAAGGTATTTGAGAAATCTTGATTTGCAAATTTTCTAAATAGGATTATGCAATATGTAAAAGTAAACTGAAAATATTGAAATTAAATGAAGTATTACATAACTGGTTCGAAACGGAAAGTGATTGGGAAAGCTTTATCCAAATCCCGACAGTTTAAAAAAAGAGAGAATTCACAACATCTTATCGTCAAACGAAGTGATCATATTATCAATGAAGAGTTGGTATACAAATTACGCAATGGAAAAAAATTAATAAAAAGCTACTGATACAAATGAAGAAATGATAAAAACCGCAACGAAAACATAAAAATATCATATGAAATGAAATAATGAAAACTTAAAATTGTTGTCACCATTCCTTAACATTATAAAACAGTTAAATTTTAATCATAAACGATTTCGTTCGGTCGCCATAGCCTACTAAGTATATTGCGAGTAAAGAAATTTTGAATAACATCAGGTAATATTATTATGATTATGATTACTATTACTATTGCGAACTTCTGTTATATGCCCAAACAAACATTCCCAAATTAAAGCGAATTCAGAAAGACATTTACGATCGCAAGATGGAAGTGTTAAGATAATAAGTGCTGCAGAACTGACCCACTCAGGAACAATTTTTTACAAGGGCGTGTAATTTCTGGCGTATTCCAATGAAATCGATATCATCGGTAACAAAAACCTTCGAAGTTTGTCCTGCCTTTTCTAAGTTTGATAAAGAAGCAAAGCGATTGGGTTTGGTGATCAACGAAGACAAGACGAAGTATCTCCTGTCATCAACCAAAGGGACAGAGTATTCCCGCCTTGACACCCACATCACTGTTACCAGTTGCAATTTTGAGAAAGTAGAGAACATCGTTTACTTGGGAACCAGCATTAACACCGATAATAATGTCAGCATGGAAATCCAATGCAGAATCACTTTAGCCAACAAGTGCAACTTTGGACTGAATAGGCAATTCGGGAGTAAAGTTCTCTCTCGACGTACAAAAACCACACTCTATAAGTCACTAATCATGCCCGAGCTGACAAATGGCGAAGAAGCTTAGACAATGCCAACATTCGATGAGACGGCTCTTGAAGTATTGGAGAGAAAGATCTTAGGGAAGATTTAGAGTTTTCCTATTTCTGAAATTTACAGTTATACCGGAAGCGGGTGTAATTTTGGTCTGATTGGAATAATTTTCAACAAATTTCTTTTCCGTACCAAGGTTATTAAGTGCAGCGAGTTTTGTAGAAATAGATAAATCGGTTACCGAGATGCAGATTTTTGGTCAAAAGTGGGCGGCGCCACGCCTATTATCCAAAAATTTATATTATTCTAATTTTTTAATAAGCGGTTATTGTAATCATCGATTTTAAGTGAATTAGCTCCAGTAGATACAAATTTATCGCAGTTTTCGCGTTTCTGTAAATTACCGTTATATGGCTGGTGGGCGTGGTTATTGCCCGATTTCAAAGATTTTCAACAGATTTCTTGTCCAAGCCTCGTACCGAGTTTTGTAAGGATTGGTGAAGCAGCTACTGAGATACGGCATTTCATTTTAAGCGGGCGGCGTCACGCCCATTTTCTGAAAAATTTCATAATAATACTATTTTCTACCATAATTCTACTCCAATACTAATTTTCAACTATTTACATCTAATATTTACAGAAATATGGTAGTTTTAGCATTTTTCGAAAATACCGTTATATGGGAAGTGGGCGTGGTTAAAGTCCGATTTCGCCCATTTTCAATACCAACCTACCTTGGATTAAGGGCAACCTACATACCAAATTTCGTTTAAATATCTCAATTTTTGCTCGAGTTATCGTGTACACGGACAGACGGACGGACGAACAGACAGACATAGCTTAATCGACTTCTCTTTTCATTGTGATCATTTATGTTTACATTTGTCCATATCTATCTCGATTCGTTTTGGCTGTTACAACCAACCGTTATGCGAACAAAGTTAATATACCCTTGTGCACAAGTGCGCTCGGGTATAAAATAAGTGCACGTTTTTGATGTTGCCTTATAACGTAAGAACGGCTTCAGCAACAAACAAAACAAAATATGGAATGGAACAAAATTAAATGGAATATTCGGGATGCAGTTAGTTTATGTGAAGTTTTCCCGAATTCAGAAAAAGGGGCGTGGCACCTCTAATCTTATATATAAAAATAAGTGTTTTAGCTTTTAACTTGTGAATGGCTTCACCGAATTCAATCAAATTTATGTAGGATATTCGGGCTATGATGCAGATGGTTTGTGTGAAGTTTTCCCAAATTTGGATAAGGGGGCGTGGCACCCCTATCTGATATATAAAAATAAGTGGACGTTTTTGGTGCGACCTCATAACTTGAGAACGGCTTCACGGAATTCAACCAAATTTATGCGGCATATTCGGGCTATTATGCAGATGGTTTATGTGAAGTTTGCCTGAATTCGGAAAAGGGGGCGTGGCACCACCCATACTAATCTATATTAATAAAAATGTTGTGTTCGTATGTCACGGTCGTCAAAACTCGAGAACGGCTGAAACGATTTGAATAATTTTTTTTTTGTATTGTTCGGTATAATACCATAACCAATGATACCGCAAAAAATTGGAGGGTTGGCACCTATTTGAAAAATTTTAAACCCAATTATATTGATAAAATAAATAAATTATTACAATATGGGTATCAAATTAAAGAGGTTTAAGAAAGATAACTGTTGGCAATATTTTTGAAGAAGGTTGCCACCTATTTGAAAATTTTAACTCAGTCAAATTGATAAAATGAATGAAATATTGCCATGTGGGTGTCAAACTAAAGAATTTTAAGAAGGCTTACAGCCGAAAGTATGTAGAGAGTTGCCACCTGATTAAAAATTTAATTAAAGTACATCGATTAAATAAATGAAATATAGCAATATCGGTATCAAATTAAAGAGGTTTAAGAATGATAACTGCTGGAAATATTTTTGACGAGGGTTGCCACCTATTTAAAAATTTTAACTCGGTCAAATTGATAAAATAAATGAAATATTGCTATGTGGGTGTCAAGCTAAAGAGTCTTAAGAAGGCTTGCAGCCGCAAATATGTTTGAGGAGGGTTGCCGCCCGATTGAAAATTTAACTAAAGTATATCGATAAAATAAATGAAATATTGCAATATGGGTATCAAATTAAAGAGGTTTAAGAAATATAACTGCAGGAAATATTTTTGAGAAGGGCTGTCACCTGTTTGAAAATTTTAACTCAGTTAAATTGATAAACTAAATAGAATATTGCAATGTGGGTATCAAACAAAAGAGGTTAAAGAAGGCTCACAGGCGAAAATATTTTAAAGGAGGGTTGCCACCAGTTAAAAAATTTAGTGCAATTTAATTGATAAAGTAAATGATATATTACAATATGGATTTTACATTAAAGAGGTTTAAGAAATGTAACTGCTGGAAATATTTTTGAGGAGAGTTGCCATCTTTTTGAAAATTTTAACTCAGTCAAATTGGTAAAATAAATGAAATATTGCAATGTGGGTATTTAACTTTGGAGTTTTAAGAAAGCTTACAGCCGAAAATATGCTTGAGGAGGGTTGTTACCTATTTGAAAATTTACCTAAAATTAATTGATAAAATAAGTGACTTATAACAATACAGGTATCAAATTAAAGATGTTTAAAAAAAATGACTGCTGGAAATATTTTTGAGGGGGGTTGCAATCTATTTTAAAATTTTAACTCAGTTAAATTGATTAAATAAACGAAATAGTGCAATTTGGGTATCAAACTAAATAGTTTTAAGAAGACTTACAGTCGAAAATATGTTTGAGGAGGTTTGCCACCTGTTTGAAAATTTAACTCAATTAAATTGATAAAATAAACGAAATGTTACAATATGGGTACCAAACGAAAGGTATTTGAGAAATCTTGATTTGCAAATTTTCTAAATAGGATTATGCAATATGTAAAAGTAAACTGAAAATATTGAAATTAAATGAAGTATTACATAACTGGTTCGAAACGGAAAGTGATTGGGAAAGCTTTATCCAAATCCCGACAGTTTAAAAAAAGAGAGAATTCACAACATCTTATCGTCAAACGAAGTGATCATATTATCAATGAAGAGTTGGTATACAAATTACGCAATGGAAAAAAATTAATAAAAAGCTACTGATACAAATGAAGAAATGATAAAAACCGCAACGAAAACATAAAAATATCATATGAAATGAAATAATGAAAACTTAAAATTGTTGTCACCATTCCTTAACATTATAAAACAGTTAAATTTTAATCATAAACGATTTCGTTCGGTCGCCATAGCCTACTAAGTATATTGCGAGTAAAGAAATTTTGAATAACATCAGGTAATATTATTATGATTATGATTACTATTACTATTGCGAACTTCTGTTATATGCCCAAACAAACATTCCCAAATTAAAGCGAATTCAGAAAGACATTTACGATCGCAAGATGGAAGTGTTAAGATAATAAGTGCTGCAGAACTGACCCACTCAGGAACAATTTTTTACAAGGGCGTGTAATTTCTGGCGTATTCCAATGAAATCGATATCATCGGTAACAAAAACCTTCGAAGTTTGTCCTGCCTTTTCTAAGTTTGATAAAGAAGCAAAGCGATTGGGTTTGGTGATCAACGAAGACAAGACGAAGTATCTCCTGTCATCAACCAAAGGGACAGAGTATTCCCGCCTTGACACCCACATCACTGTTACCAGTTGCAATTTTGAGAAAGTAGAGAACATCGTTTACTTGGGAACCAGCATTAACACCGATAATAATGTCAGCATGGAAATCCAATGCAGAATCACTTTAGCCAACAAGTGCAACTTTGGACTGAATAGGCAATTCGGGAGTAAAGTTCTCTCTCGACGTAGAAAAACCACACTCTATAAGTCACTAATCATGCCCGAGCTGACAAATGGCGAAGAAGCTTAGACAATGCCAACATTCGATGAGACGGCTCTTGAAGTATTGGAGAGAAAGATCTTAGGGAAGATTTACAGGCCTCTGCGCGTTGGCGACGGGAGTACCGCAGACGATGGAACTATTAGTTGTATGAGCTTTACAACGAAATGGACATAGTGTAGCGAATGAAAATACGGCGGCTCTGTTGGCTTGGCCACTTCGTTTGAATGGAAAGCGACGTTCCAGTTCTGAAAGTATTAAACTCGCAATCCGCTGGTGGTAGCAGAAGAAGAGGGAGAGACCAAGTGGAGAAGGACTTGGATTCACGTGGTAGTTCCTACTGTCGTCAGTTGGCACAGAGATAAACGACTGGCGTTCTCTGACGATCTCGGCCAAAATGGCTTAGGCGTTTACAGCGGCAAATAAGAGGAAGAATATGCAAATGATAATTGACGGAGCTAGGGGACCTTCTTCTTGATGCGCCAGGAGGAACTAGGAAAACATGTCCTATCAGATTGATTATGGCAACGGTTCGTACAAACAATTACATAACCTTAGCTATCATATCATGAACATATAACTCATCGAAACTCATACTTGCAATATTTCCAGAACATCCGGTATGGAAAAAGTAGTACAAAAATTTAAACTAACTATTTGGGATCAGTGCACGATGGCACATAAAAAGTTGCTTGAGGCTCTTGATCGATATTCGTGGAATTTCAATGGAAACGTTCAACCATTCGGGAATGTATTGATATTTCTCTCAGGAGATTTTACGCAAACATTGTCTTTAATTTCTTGATTAACACTAGATAAATGCTTGCCTGAAATAGTCAACATTGTAGCAAGACAAACATATATACACTGCAGGCGAGGTATTTTCGCGACAAGTACTGGACATTGGGAACGGATTGCCGCCAGCCAACGAGAGATTAAGACAAATTTTATTGCCTGATAATTTTTGTAACTTAGGAACATCGAAAGGAGAACTGATCGAAAGAATGTTTCTTAATTACGAAAATTATAGGCTCAGTGAACGAGCTTCTTGCTGCGAAGAATAAGGATGTCTATTAACTAAATAAGACTGGTATTGACAACAGTCGTTGCTTCAGCTGGTCTGCTCTTTTTCCAGACTGCCAGGCCACTTGCTCACTTTGGTGAATACCACTAATGATATTCACTCCAGCATTCAAAGTGAGGAAATAACTGTTTAGCTGAGGGAGAGCGGGAGACCAGGTTTATAGTTGTGGTCGAGTTAGAGTAGTTGAGGAGGTAGGGATTACCTTTGCGAGTGTTTATGTATCGAGCTCAATGAGCCCGTATGGTTTTTAGGTGCACATCAAGTCAGCCACGTACTTCATATGCCTGATATGCTAGAGAGAAAGAGAGAGAGAGAGAAATATCCGGGCAGGCTGATGAAGCGGTAGCGCAAGATGTGACCCTTTCATCGTGTATTCATTGCGGGACTCCTTTAGAGGAGTCATGTTCTAGCTGCCGTAGGCTGCTGTGCAATGAGCAGGGATTTATCCAGGCATACATTCGTGCAAATCCCCAGCGTGGTTTGTAATCAGTAGCTTAATACCATGCCAAAAACTACTCCGGGAGTTGAGTGTGGGTGATGTTTAAAGCACCGTGTGATAGCCAAGCTGGCGTTGACCATAGCTGAAAATGCCAGCAACTTATCACTTCACTAAGTTCAGCGAAGAGATATTTGAGAATTGCATAAAAAATGTATACCCAATTAAGAACGAGCGAATTACTTTTAAACACAAGTGCGTGTGTGTGTTCGCTGCACTTAGTTTATGCGGAAAATGCAATATAAATGCGCTTGTGTGTTCGCTGTTCTTTGTTTATGCGGGAAATGCATAAGTCGCTTAAACAATAACACACTGAAAATAAAATTTAGTAAAAATGCTACGAAAATCTTTCGTAGTGTTGGTTTTTGTACAATGTACGAAACTTTCGTTCATAATACGAACACATTTTTCACAACAAAACAAGATTTTACGAACCATACGTAAATATAACGAAAGGACTTTCGTAAGGCATTTTTTCAGTACAATTTACGAAATCTAACGTTTATTTTACGAAACATATTCGTAAAGCACTGAACAAATCTCTGTACGAATAATTTTGTATATTGTAGGAAGGCATTCGTAATATTTACGTGTGGTTTTAAAATATACGAAATCTACAATTCTGCATTCGTACAATTTAGTTAATACTTTCGTATAAAGTACTAATGCAGAAACATGTTTTTTAAATTCGTACAGCATACGATTATTTTCGTACAATATACTCAATTACCGGCAGTTTAATATTTCATCATATTTTTTGCATCGCGTGTCATTGCGGAAATCATTGTTGGCTGCTGTGAAACGTATAATATAATTTTAAACGTTTTAAAAAGGGATTTGCTGGATAAAAAAACAATACAAAATTAAATATTAAAGCTGTGGATATACTATGCTTTTAAGCATACAATGTTTTTAACATCGCCTACGCTGCGCCTTGCGCTGGAATGTGTGACTTGATAAATACGCAATTTCATCAGTTACCTATCAACGGCAAGCCTAGGCCAGGAGCACTACTTTATATAATTAAAAGTAAGTACATGTATGAATTTTCACTGAAACTTGCTTTTCAAACGCCTTATAATTTTCCTTTAATTTATAGTCGTCAAGGAAACAAACATCGATGAAGCTGCAAATCTGTCAAGTTCCTCTACATAAAAATATTATAACATTTAAGAAAGTAAACCAAGTAGTTTTTATATTCTTTCATATTTTATATCTTCTTATACTTAGTTTTGTTGAGTTTAACACTTTGCATCAATATACTTTATTCAATGAAGCCTAAGCAATAAAAAAATATGTAGTATAGAACATATTCGTATGCATATAAATGAAAGACTTAAGTTTTATTATAGGTAAAATAACCTTTTTTATTAATTCTAAACTAGAGTGTAGTAGATCGTATGATTGCTTTTATTATTAACACTATGAAAAACATGACTAAAATTATAGCACAACACTTTCATTAAATTTTAATCAATAATGTTAAGCGTTTTTGCAAAACATTTTGTTTAACAAAAACGCCTAAAATTTACGATAAAAACAATATAAAAGTGTTGTGATATAATTCGTAATATGTTTTTTTACAGTGTGGAGAATGAAAGCAAAATCGCACATTCGACGAAACAAGCGCAGATTTTACAAAAGTATATTCGTTAAAAATACAAATTATTTCAGTGCATTTTACAAAAATTTCGTAAAAAAATAAAGAAATAGTACGAATTTTTTTAGTAAATAGTACGAAATTCGTTAGTAAATAGTACCAAATTCTTTAGTAAATAGTACTTAATTCTTTAGTAAATTGTACGAATACATTCGTAAAATGTACTAAAAATCTGATGCCTCATATTTTCGTAGTATGTACGAAAACGGTTTTGTACAATCAACGAAAACTTTCGTGGCTCAAAATGACGAAAAATTTCGTAAGATTTACACAAGTTTTCGTTATATTTACGCAGATTTTATTTTCAGTGCATATACGTCGATAAACACCTTTGTGGAAAATGACGAATAAGTTAATTATCCAACGGAATTTTAAACTCGATTGATCTTCCAGGGATGACCCCACATACTGAATTGAAAATAGGTGTGCCAATTATCACGTTGCGGAATTTTAATCAGCCAAAACTCTGCAACGGTACGCGACTCGCAGTTAAGAGATTGATGAAGAACGTAGTGTAAGTAAAGATTTTTACGTGGCCTTCCAAAGGTGAATAATTCCCATGATTCCGACCGATACACCATTTCGATTTAAAAGATTGCAATTTCCAATTCACTTGGCATTCGGAATCACAATCAATAATGCTCAAGGTTAACCTTTGGAAAAGTGTGGTTTAGATTGAGATGCGGATTTGTTCTCAGATGTTGCGTGTTCCCGTATCGGCAAACCAGATATCTTTGTACTTATTTCAAAACCAAACTCATATGAAACGAATGCTTCGTTTTGTTAATAATTTATCATGTAACAGGGTTATGCCATAGCAAAGCGTGGCAGGGTATAGCTA